AACTTAAACTAAGTTCCTTAAGCCCCTATATTACCCCAGTTTCCATTTCATTTTCCATTTCCTTTTCCATTTGATCCTCCATTCTAGGGGGATAATATCCCTAAACCCTCACCCTTATGTAACTCCATTATAATAGTTTCCATTTTCTTTTCTAGTAGCCCAATATATAGTAACTTAAATCCCTAAACCCTAAACCCTAAAACTTAAACCCTAAACCCTAAACCCTAATATAGTAACTTAAAACTTAGTTCCTTAACAGCAACCCAGGCCACGTGGAAACGGTCATCCCTCAGCGTGAGCGTTGCGCGAGCCAGGCAGGTTTGGAAGACATAGCTATTCCTGGGTTGCTGTTAAGGAACTGAATAGGGTTTAGGGTTTAGGGTTTAGGGTATATTATCCCCCTTGAATGGAGAATCAAATGGAAAAGAAAATGGAAAATGAAATGGAAACTGGGGTAATATAGGGATTTAAGGAATTTAGTTTAAGTTACTCTATTGGGGAAACCCTGTTATTTACTATATATTCCCATTATGGTAACTTAATTTAAGTTCCTTAACAGCAACCCAGATTCTGCACCATGAGGATGAAGGCTGCCTCAGTTTTAGGGTTTCTAGGGTTCAGGGTTTAGGGTTCATGGCCTTCCCTTGGGGTTATATGGGGATAATGGAAAAGAACATGGAAACTACAATAGTGGGTTATATAGGGTATAGAATATGGGGTATATGTGGATCTTATTACTGTTCAGACGACTTGTGGATCTTACTGCCTCTTTCACACAGATCCGATGGAGGAGAACTGCATTGAGGGGTCAGGGATCTGGGAAAACCGTTGCCACCGCAGCGGGTTGGCTGCATATTGCGGCCAGTGTAAGAGCCAGTTGCTTTGAACAGTCTTTTTGCAGGCTAGAACATATTCTCTGCCGAGGAAGGCTCAGTCTTGGCGGATCCGCCATGTTTGACATGTCGAATCAAGTGGTTCACCCAAGCATGGTACACGAAAACAATGAACACGAGGACAGGAATGAGGAGTAAACGCAGCACTTGCAACAAGCAAGTTAAGCTGTATAGTAGGTTTCTCACTTCTTCTGCGTGGTGCTTGGTGCCTGTATACTGCCGAGTTTGAGAGCTGTTGGTCTGTTGTTGTGGAGTCTTGCCGTTCAAGTTCCTTCTGCTTGGAAAGATACGACAGATGAAGAGGCCGAGCGTGGCCTGAAAAACTTGCACTGTACTGTTTATGCCACCAGAAAATTCCATATCCAGCCAGAAGCCATTCGGCGCATGCTGAAGGATGGAACGAACTTGAAAAGCAGCTATCTTTTTCGGAACTTATTCGACGAAGCTGGACGCAGCTACTTGTAGCAGTCCATCCAGTATATGCTACAGTCTACATGTCTACATCACCTCATGATTGCGTACCAAGTCGCAAGGTCGGCCAAGTCAACCGTCACGATTTTCAGGTCCTTGGGGGCAGCTGCTTGAACCGCCTGCAAGAGCTCCACAAGAACCTGCAGAAGTGTGCGGACCGTCACAAACGGGTTCGTTCGTGCACGCTCCAAGCACAAAGGTAGGAACTCACAGACAATGGCTCGTGTGGTAATTCCATCGGCCAGGAAGTGCTTGGTCAGTTCTGTCTGTTCCTGGGCTGCGGTTAAGGATTTAGGTTACTATATTGGGGAAACCATAAAAGTTACTATATATACCCATCGGGGTAACTTGACTCAAGTTACTATATTGGAGAAACCACATTAATTACTACCTATACGCATTATGGTAACCCGGAACCCTAAATCCTAAATCCTCAAGCCTAAACCCCAATCCTTAACCCAAAATCCTAAATCCTAAACCCTTAATCCCAAATCAAACCTTAAACCCTAACTCCTAAACCCTAAACCCTAACTCCTCAACCCTTAACCCAGGTTCCTGTGCGGTGAGGGCATCCCAGGCATCCTGGAGAAGGGCCACATCTTCCACCGTTTGCGCCCGGCAGGTACCTGAGTTGCTGTTAAGGAACTTAAGTAAAGTTACTATATTGGGGAAAGCCTACTAATTACAATAGGGTTTAAGGGTTTCGGGGTTTAGGGGTCTAGGGTTTTGAACTACCACAATATAGGGGCTATAGGGGTATGTAGAAGACTATCTTATCCCCCTATAATTGAGAATCAACTGAAAAAGAGAATGGAAAATGAAATGGAAACTGGGGTAATATAGGGATTTCAGGAACTTCTAAACCCTTTGCCTAAACTCTAAATTGTAGTTTCCATTTTCTTTTCCATTATCCCTATATAACCCCTACCCTAAACCCTAAATCCTTAACAGCACCCCAGGTGCAGGCAAGGCGAAGCAAAGCCAAGTCTGCAGGTTGTTCCGCCCGCTTCCCAAGCTCAAGCCCACGGTGGTGGATGTAGGTCCAGTACCTTACTTGGAGGCCCATGGGACTTAGTAACTACTTATAGCTGGGATTATAACCCTACTTATGATTGGGGTAACCCCTATAAGACCGTTTAGGGGGATTATAAGTATATGGTTATAAGCCCAGATATAAGTAGTTACTAAGTTCCATGGGCCTCCAAGTACCGGGGTTTACTAGGGAGTTAAGGGAATATATTGGGATTACACAGAGGTATATAGGGTTCAGGGATTTAGGGTAAGTAGGAAACAAGGGAAGATACGGGCGTTGTACAGGGATACTGGAAAAGAGCATGGAAACTACTACATTATAATAGGGCATGTATTGGGGTTATAGTAGGGAATAAGGAAATATACGATGTAGGGATTCTATAAAGATTCTATTCCCTTATTCCCTACTAACCACCAGTGAGGTACAGCGGGGCCGGATCCTGCTCCAGGACGTGTTTGAGCATGGCGAGTCCAAGGATAGTTGTTCTGGCATTGTTGCCTGGGTTGCTGTTAAGGAACTTAATGTAAGTTACTATATTGGGGAAACCTTCTTATTTACTATATATACCCATTATGGTACCTTAACTGAAGTTCCTTATCAGCAACCCAGTTGCGAGTCATGAATCGCGAGCCCTTACCACCCGCCAGGCCGCTCATGAATCCTAGAAGGTAGAGAACGTAGAACTTCAGAAGCTCTTCACCACCTCTCGGTTGAATGGCGGCTTTGAGGTCTCGAAGATTTGCAGGTACGTTCTCGCCCTGGAGCATCTGGGCAAAGTTGAAGGTCCCCTGCATCTTCAACAAATTGCGAACCAGCTGCTGAACGCTGCTCCCCAAGCTTGCCGACGATGGGACTGCCAATGGATAGGTATCGAGTATGTACTTCATTGCCTTCTCTGGCCGCTGGTTTCCTGCTGGAAGCTGTCGCGTGAGGGATCTGAATTTGCTAACACCCTTCACTGCCAAGAGGAAGATCACGGCAAGCAACTTCTGGTCATTTGGAGCAGTCCATGAAAAAAGGTCCTGCAGGTTGTGCCACTGAGATTTGGCCAAGCAGCTCTTTTGAGGTTGGGCGGCAGTGTACCTGAGGCAATCTTCAGTGGAAGCTTTACATTCCGCTCTCCAGACCGATAATCTATTTATCTTGCTCAGAAAGCATGCTAACCAAAAGGGTGTAAGTAAGTGTAATACATGTCCAAGTGGCAAGTTGTAGTCATTCCGCACTATGGCGATTAGGCTCAAAATTGCGGACTCTGCTCGTTCCTGCTCATTGGCATCCGAATATCTTGCATGCAACCCGGATTCGGGATCCAGTTCCACAAATGCTTCGCGCAAGCTTGCGAGAGTGTTCCCTACCGTCTCGTCGCTATGTACCACTGAGGTGACAAAGTCCATAGGTGTCAAGCAAGCTGTGAGATCCATGCCATCTATGCCTGTACCTATAAGTTGCGCTGCAGGCTGAGACTCATCAAAATTGTAGGAGTCCCGGGATCTATCAGAAGTCGAACGAATGTGGCCCATGGTGATTGACTTGACCACGGGGCTTTGGAGATCAGAGAGGTCCAGGGTATCAAGAACTAGTCTACTGTCCACATTCACTTCCAGGTAGAAGGAATTGCTTGCACAGGCTGTTCTGGCGCATTCCTGCTCTCGCTCAATCTTGTCCCAAACTCCGACTTGAGAAGTTACAGAGGCAGTGGAATAGCGGGCAATGTAGTCTGTGGCATACTCCACAACCATTGTGGTGCACAAGGGTGAGTTGGTAAGAACCTTTGCGAAATCTGCGGCTTCCAGCGAAAAGACTTCAGAAAACGAATCCGTGTGCAAACTGCACCCATGCATGACAGCCTCCACATACAGAGATATCTCAGCAAAGTACTGGCAATCATCTTCAAAAAACACTTGATCGTTGGGAAATGCTTCAGCCTGCAGCCTGAAGGTGCCATGATTGGTGATGTACATCTTCTCTGCTAGTGCTCCTTCGCTGAAGACAGATTCACCTTCGCAGAAGAAAAGCTTCTTCAGAGTACGACAGCACTCTGCGAAGACAATGGGGTACGCTAAAGATACAAACTCGAACAATGGATGGGAATTCAAGACCTCTCCAAACTGAGATGTGGCCAGTTCTGCCTCAAGCATAGGCGAGATCAAGCTGGGATCATAGGAGATGGGCGAGTGCCGCGTCATCTTGTAATCAGCGTAGCTCATAACCCTCATCAGCAGCTCAGTCGGCACTTTGCGGTTCTGCAGGAAAATTCGAAGC